TCGTCGTCCCATTTTTGAGTTTGTTCACAATAACTCTTTGCACTGTTTATAAGCATTTCTTTTGAAATTTTACATTTCTTGAGAATTTTGTGTAAGATTTCTACATCGTATATTGCGTTATGAGTATTAGCACTCGAGACGTTTAACCATTCTGCCAAGCCCGTAATAGTACATTCACCCTTGCCTTTTCGACCAGTATGTTTTCTAATAACATACAATGTGTCAATGAAACCATGAACGACTTCCGAAAAATCACTCTGTAAGCTGCATGATGTAATCGCATCATAGATTCTTGGGCCATCGAAGCTAAGATTGTGCGTTGCTATGTAGGATTTTTGTTCAAACGAGCTTAGCCAAGAATGGAAATTTCCCATTGCCACTCTTAAAGGAACGGATGAGACTTGTACTCCATGATACATAAGTTCTCCAAAATTATTTGTTAGACCATTGGCGCTAGTGGCAGATGACGAAATTTGCTGGGTCGGATTCACGTAAGTTTCAAAAGTTAATGAACCACATTTCGCAGCAATTTGCAATATATCACAGCCTCTTCCAAAGCCAAAAGTCTCCAAATCGACTAGAATAATGGGAGGCATTTTGTTGCTTTCTTCTTCAATACTAGAGTGCTCTGGTTCTGGTTCATCTTCCACGGCATGCGTATTAAAAAGAGCACAGTTACCTTCGTACGTTACACCTTCGCGATTTTCTATTCTGTGTCGTAAAGCAGAACTGCGCTTTTTCAGAACTAAACGATTTTTTTTAAATGTTGGATTTTTGATCAGGCGCCGCCGACATTTGACGGTATGATTGATCTTAGAAATGTGTCTTGAATGAAATTTTCCAGGAGACAATCCAAGAGATGTAACAACTTTTTGAGTATAATCTTCTCCTATATTTTTTTGACCGATCGCACAAGCAAACCGAAAGTCTGCTGATTCTAACATACTATAACAGCGAGACTTTGGAGCCTTGCTTGCCATAATAGCATTGAGACTTTCATTTGCATTACTCGAGGCACCTGCAGAAAATTTTTGAGCATTTGATGCTAATTTATCGAAGATCTCCCTTAGGCTTTCAAATAGCTGGAAATCATGAAAACCTCCGGGGATTATTCTGTGATCGTAATTTTCTTTATCAATGATATATCCACACCAAGTACCACATTTGCTGTGGTCATTAAACGCATGGTAAGGAATACATTGAATGGCATCTGCTAAAGCAGCACTATTCCCTTTGTTTTGAGCCAACGCATATGTGAAGCATCGATGAAGATATAATATACCATCCTTAGTTAGCTCTTTGTGACGTTTTTCAATTTTATACAGTTCTTTTTTGACGCCTCCGGATGCGTGATTTATGTCAGAGTGTTTCACAATGGTATGTGAGCTAGCTGCACGACAAGCTGCTATAGTTGAACTATCGTCGTCACCTATTAATACTCCAATTTCCAGATTTTTTGATTGGAGAATTGTACTAGAAGTTACAATATCTTTTACAACGTCAGGCTCCATCGCTTTTGCAGTGCCCCAAAAATTTAATCGACAATCATGATTAGCTGGATGATTTCCGCTATCGCATTTTTTACATTTTCTATTACGAGTTGAGTAATCAAGAACAAGTCCAGACATGCGATTATTGCTCCAAATCCATTCAAACTATCATAATTTCTTCCAGTACCTCTCCTGCTCCAGCCCATATCATATGAAACCATAATGCGCACAACATCATTGAAAGTTACTGACGCTTCCTCTACTTGAGATTGATTAGGAATTATAAAGTTGGATTGTAAACTCTCTGGTCTGCGCAATACAAATTAAAAAGAATCAATTTGTTATAATTGTTATTATTGTTATTGTTATTATAATTTGTTATTATTGTTATTACTGATTATTTATTTATATTATTTATTTATTTATTATTTATTTGGATTCTTCTTGTAGGAAATTAATTAATTTAATTAGCAGTAATGTACTTATATCATTATATTTTATGTATGTATATATATATATATGGGGCATTCTTTCTCAGCCGCCATTTTGAATTTTGAAAGGGGCCACACGGCAAATAAAAGTAGACATGTTTAACTAAATTTTCAGCCTTGAAAAAAATTTTTTGGTTCATATGAATTCTGGGCAGAGGGGGATGTCCGGCTGAGAAAGAATGCCCCATATATATATTATTACAAATATCAAAATAATTACAATAGCTGTTGAATGTTTTCTATATTCTCTAATGTGAGTTGCCGTTCCAAATCTGCTGCGTTCTGACAACTTTCCTTCGCAATACTCTCTGTTGCCTGTCCAACTTCTTGTTCATATCTCTTGAATGTCTTGAAATCAATAGTTGGAATATTTAAACAGGATAGTATTTTTTTGAGATGTGTATGTCCTAATCCACCATGAAGAACACCTTGAAACACAATTAAGAATAGAATAGAGAATATGATTGTTTATTTAAAAAACTTTTTTTGAATATAGCAGGTACAATTATGTAAATTTACCGATTACTGCTTTAGTATTTACGTCAAAACGAGACAAGCGTCGATTTGCCCAGCTGTGTTGTTTACTCGTGGTGACTGAATTTATTAGTAAACATTTGTGGCACCTAACCAACAATATCGAGCCCAAGCCTCTGTGCATTTCTTTTTCTATATAACTTAGAGAAAGAGCTTCCTTGCGTGACACACACCAGAATTGCTCAGCGAGAACGGAAAATTCAACTATGCGGCGTCCTTCCATGTAGTCCGATTGAGTTGATTCATTTTGTGGTTCTGAATTTTGAGTTTGGTTCTCGAATTTTGAGTTTGCGTTGATTTTATTTTCATTTACAGTTTTACAATTTTGACTTTGTTTTAATCTCTGTTGGTATACTTTTTCACTTACTAATTTGCCTTTCCACCGTCTTTTCTCGCATTTCGGCATTTTCGTTTGCTTGCTTACTTACTGCAAGCAGCTATGTGAAGTTGGCCCCCCCCCTACTAAAATTCTAAAAATAACCATTACTATTCGTTTGGTGGTCGTTTGGTGGTGTTTGGTAGTCCATTCCGGACGTTTGGTAGTCAATAGAAATAATGGAGAATTGAAAAAAAGACGAATGCGCGTGAAGTTGGCCCCCCCTCTTCTAAAACTCGGCTTTCCCGACTGCGTATGCAATAATGACTGTAAGCATTCGTTTGGTGGTCGCTCACTGACGTTTGGTAGTCCATTCCGGACGTTTGGTAGTCAATATAAATAACGGAGAATGCGAAAAAAAGGTGAATGCGCGTGACGTTGGCCCCCTCCCTTCTAAAACTCGACTTTCCCGACTGCGTATGCAATAATGACTGTAGGCATTCGTTTGGTGGTCGCTTACTGATGTTTGGTAGTCCATTCCGGACGTTTGGTAGTCAATATAAATAACGGAAAATGCGAAAAAAAGGCGAATGCGCGTGACGTTGGCTCCCTCCCTTCTAAAACTCGGCTTTCCCGACTGCGTATGCAGTAATTGTAGGACAGGAATAGATTAAGTTAAAAGAGAGAAGCGTCTTTATAGCGTCTTTATTCGACCTGTGTTGTAATCTTTTTATTATTTTTGTACTCTGATTATTTGAATTACTATTATTTGAAAAGCGCGCGATTGAGCGGAGATGCATGCGATGCGTGCGATTGGTAATGATCGGAAAGGCTTGGAGAGGAGCCCGAAGTTGGCGCGCGGATCGCGAGGACATGCGGCGTCTGGCGGCAGACGACGGATAGGGATATATACCCG